AAAGCCCCAGGAGATGGACACAATGTCCACCTGTCAGAGTTCTAGCAGGCATGTTGGATCATTCTGGAACCAGAGTCAGGCATAAGGACCCTTTTCTTGGAGAGCCAGGACGGCTGAGAGGCTCAGGGTGTCAAGGGGGTGTGTGTCCAGTCTGGTGGCACTAGGTGGACCACAGCCCAGGTCCCCTGACTCCCAGCCCAGAGCTCTTTCCAAAGAAGCCTGGACCAGGAGCAGGGCTAGAGCTGGGGTGAGGCAGGTGGGTGCAAAATTTAACAGAGTGTCCCAAAGCTCTGTAATCAAGATAAACATTTTGATAAAATATTTTTCAAAATCAAAATTAGTACCAAAAAAGTCATGACGAGGAAAATATCAAATTTTAAAAAGACTTCAATAAAGCCATGCCTCAGCCTCACCCACTGCATCCTGACACTAGCTGGGACCAGGAGTCCAGAGGGAACACTGGGCTGGGACCCAAAGGAACTGGTTGTGTGGAAATCTACAGGAAGACGACTACAGGCAGAGGGCAGGGCTCAGGGTGTCAGAGGAACAGAAGAGGGGACAGAGGGCCTGGGGCAGAGTGACGCCCCCACCCATCCCCACCCTGACTCAACAGAGAGACCAGCACTTTTCCTACAATCAGCCACTCCCCACGGGAAGCCAGTGGGACCCCCGCCAGAAAAGCTAACTCTGGACAAAGAAAGCCCCACCCCACCACTCCTCGACCCAATCCCCCAACTCTAACCAGAGCCAAGCCTTTGCATCTCGAGGAGGGATGGACAGAAGAAACTGGACAGCTCTGGGTAACCTTTCCTGCCATGGAAAAACAGCCCAGGCCTTTACGCTTCCTGACAGCAGGTTATAAATGGGAAGGAAAGCATATTCTTAAAACCGCTGACAGTGTCTCCCTTTTAAGGTATTTCCTCGGGGCCAGCCACTCCACATTCTCCTCCTGCCCCTGAAATGAACAGCAGTTTGTTTTTCTCTGACAGCTGGGGCTCTCCTTGAGGTCAGACAGGCCTGGGTTCAGATCCGGCTTTGCCACTTACTGCTCAACCCCAGACGATGCGCCAAGATGAAAGGTCACCACCTCTCACTTCCAGAGGCCCGGTGGTGACTTAGATGGCATGATGTGGGCTGAAGGGCAAACCACAGGGGTAGACAAGAGGGGACCACGACCTGGCACCAGCACACTGTGCTGCTAAAAGATGCTGGCCAGATCTCCCAGTGCTTCAAAAGAAAAAATTTCATGTGAAATCTCTCGATTTTTAAAGGTCAGCAGCTAATTTAAAAAAATTTTTTAATTTAACTCAGTAGAAACAAAACAGGTCTACACGCCAGAGCCCGCCACCTGTCCCCATGTGTGCCTCTGATGTCTTCAAGCCACCCAGGGGGCACCCTGCACCTAGCAGGTGTCAGCGAGCGTGGATGGCACCCGTCTTCCCAGAAGCTTTCACGGGCATCACTGCCATCCCCTTCCGCACGACAGCTTGGGAAGGGAAGGGACGCTTCTCGGGAGGGAAGGAAGATATGAAGAGAAGAGCTGAAAATCTGGAAGGCTCTAAGGGAGGGAGGAACTGCAAAGAGGGAATTCCTTAAAAGGATTTAAAAGAATGCTATTGGACACTGTTTAGCACAGTCGGGGATAAGATCAGGCAGTGATTTCACTGCTGGGTGCCACCGCAGGTCTGTCCGTGGGGGCGGGCAGGGGCCGGAGGGAGTCATCATTCTTCCTGATGGTCTCCACTCAGTGTGCAGGGACTTCTGTTGAAGGTCACCTCAACGCCTGACTCAGGGGCACAGTGTTCTGACAGGCCCAGCCCCTCTCGAGAGGTGGCCGGAAGGTCCCACTGATCCTAACAACGGAAGTCAGCTTGAGCCTCAGTGGAGCCATCCGTTCGACAGGGCCCTAAAGCCAGACCCAGCTGGTTGGGGGTCAAGCCTTCAACACCGGTGTTTCTCAAAGTGAGATCCCAGGCCAGCACACAGCCCTCCCCTGGTGGGGCTGGGTATCTGTGGGGACACGACAACAGGCAGCTGCAAAGCACAGGAACGCCGAGGTCCAGGTGTGGGAGGAAGAGCGGTGTTTCTCAACACCAAATCCAGGAACCATCTGACCACCAAAGCCCACGCGAGCCCCTCCCCTCCGCAGCACTGCTGGCCGGTGTCCTTGCTGTCCCTCGAACATGCCTCTCCTCTGCCTGGGGGACACTGGCTTGGCCGCTCTGTCTCCTCCGAAAGCGCTCTTCCCGCGTCCTCCAAAGATGGACTTCCCCTTGCTCAGGACTCAGTGTGACTGTCCCCTCTTCCGAGAGCTCCCTCTGAGAGCTCCCCCTCACTGTGCTCTCTCCTCACTCTGCACCCCTCCTCTGCTCTGGCCTCTTCCCCGCCCTTCCCGCAGACTGCCAGCATGATGCATGTCTGCAGGCTCCTGGCTCTCCCTGGCCCAGCACACGGTGAGTTCCTGGGGGCAGGTCCTCGCCCCTTGTGGCCTTCACCTCACCAGCGAGCCAGCCTTCGCTGGATGGACGGACTCGGTGCTTATTCCCCAGGGTTAACGCTGAGCCTCTCTCCCTATGAAGCCCCAGGAAGCGCCCACGCCTGCCAAACCTGCCCGTTCTCAAGGAGAAGGCCTCAGGCGGGTCCACAGCCAAGCTTCTTCCCGTCCTTTCTCGGTTCTCTGATTGCGGGCAAAGGCAGTAGAGACAGGAAAGGAGAAAAGGAAAGGAGAGCACAAGGCGAGCGACCCTGGGAACCCCGCTCTGCAGGCGGCACCCCGCTGGGGAGGGCCCGCCAACCCACCTCTGTGGGCTCCTACCGGCTCAGCTGCGAGGCGGCGCTCCAGGCCTGCTGGCTTCGCGCCGGGTGCAGGCCCAGGACCTGGCTCAAGGCTACGCCGGCCTGTGCGACTCCGGGTCTTGGCGCGCACGTGGACCTGGATGGAATGGCACCTGCCACGGCACAGGCTGTCCCTAAGAAGTTGGTGCAGCAAAGCGCCGCAGCCCCGGGGCCCACAGTGGCAGGAGCGGCCCAGGCAACGGTGCCTGGAGCTCGGGAAAGGCGAGTGTGCGTGGCCCCCGGGAGGTGGAGCTAGTGTGGAGCGCGCGGCTCCAGGGCAAGCGGTGCCTGGACGGCATGAAGGATGCAGCACGTGCGGTCCTGGGGCAATGGAGCGAGGTGCCCACGGGCAGCGGTGCACTTCGGCCTCCAGGGAAAGGCAGGAGACATGGCGCACGTGGTCCCCAGGATGTGCAAGCGCGGGGAGCGTGCAGCCTCGCGGCAACGGAGGGTAGGGACTTTAAGAACTTGGCTCACGTAGCCCCTGGGGCAACGGTGCGAGGGGCCCAGGACCACCCGTGCACTTGGACCGCCCAGGAAAGCACGTGACATGGAGCGCGACCCCTGGAGGTTGCGGCGCAGCCGGCGCGGGACCTTAAGGCTGGCGCGTGCGGGCGGAGTGGCAGCGGCGCGCAGGGTGGGAGGGGAGAGCAGATCGGGAAGGAGACGGCGATGGCAGGGGAGGGCTTAGCGCGTGCCTCGGTGACCGGGGCTCTGGAATGCGCTGCGCGGAGCGCTACCCGGGCAAGCGTGCGGGGGCCCCCGGATTCGAGGTACAGGACCCCGACTGGGCGCCCAGACGCCCGGCGTCGGTTGCCACCGTCCCGGCGCCGCGCTCCCGGCTGCCCGCCCGTTGTCCCCGCCCCGCGCTTAGTCCCCTCCCTCCGTCCCGCCTCCTGCCCCGGCTCCCTCCCTCGGCGGCCGGCGCGCCGCGCTCCCGGCGTACTCGGAGCCCGGCGGGGACCCGGAGGCAGACGGGGCGGCCCTGGGTCCGAGTGCGGGAGCTGAGTCAGGCCCGGGGGCCGAAGTTCGGCGGCGGCTCCAGGAGGCAGAGCGGGCGCCCTGGGGGGCTTCTAGCCCCCTTTCGGGTCCTCGCCCCAGACCCGCTGGCAGCCGGGGAGGAGACCGAAGCCGCGGCCCGGCCAACTCCGAGGCGGGGACGCCGCGACGGGAACTTGAGGTGGGAACTTTGCGCGCTGCAGCCTCGCCGGCCACTGCGCGGTGTGGACCGGCCCCTGCGGCTGCATACTCGGGCTCGGGGACAGCCGCACGTGGCCGTGGCCCCGAACTCCCCTGCAGTGGCCTCGAAACCCGCCCGCGGAGAGGCTATGGCGACCGAGGACCTGGGAGCAGCTGCTGGTGGCGACTTGGAGCGCGCTCGCCACGGCCACGGAGCGAGTCCAGCTGTGGTTCTTCCCAAGGGGTCCTTGGGATGCGAAGGGCTGGATGGTCTCCCAGTGACCCTGGCGAGGGGCGCATCCCGACTGGGCGGCGGCGTCCCGGGAGGAGGAGAGTTGGGGATGGGGGAGGGGGCATCTGTCACTCGCTCATTCACTCTATCCTTGGGCACGGAATGGAGCATCTCCACCAGTGGGCCTTACTGAGTCATTCATTAACTGTGAACATAGCAAGCGTTTATTGAGCGCCTACTGTGTGCTAGGCGCCGGGGATACCGAGACAGTTCACTGGGTGCTCCAGTATCCGGTAGCACGGCAGGGGTCTCCCCAGCCTCAGGGCTCCCCACTGGAGAGGGGCTCGGCCTGGGTGTGTTGGAGTCTTTGGGTGGGGAAGGAAAGGAGGGTTCTTTCATTCATTCATGGATTGGATAAAGATTGGTTGAGCGCCTACTATGGGCAGCTCACCATACCAAGTGTTCAACATTCACTCATTCATACAGCAAACAGTTATGGAGGCACCGTGCTGGGGAGAAAGCGGACAAGAGGAACGGGATGGGGGCAGCCTCCATGCAGTTTGGAGAGGAGCAGGAATTAAGCCCCAGGCCCTCCCTTGGGAGGTCACGGAGTGCTGGGGTGGCCAACTGTAGTGGCCAACAGGCAGAAGTCCTGTGTTCATCTAATACATTGGTTCTCAAGGAGGGGGGCTGGAATTGGTTCTTGGCTAGGAAGAAAAGGCCTTGTAAAAGCTCTTGGGGGAGGGTGGCAGGGTGGGGGAGGAGGTTGAGAAACACTGATCTAAAATTACTGATGAAAGCAGGCTCCCACCGATGGGCTTTATTAGTTGAGTTGTCCATTCTGCAGGCATTTTCTTAAGCATTTGCTATTCTTAAGCACTTAAAGGGTGCCAGGCGCCAGAGTTACCCAGGTGGATGAGAGGAGGGAGACAGACGCATAGACACCCCCCTTCGCTGACGCCCTGAGACAAGTGCAGGGGGAGGTGAGAGGAGGGAGCAGGAACTGGTCTGATTCACCGTGGGGTGGGGGAGCTCCTGCCTTGTGCATCTGAGCAGAGGTTTATTCACTAGGGTGTATCTGACACCCCACGCACGTGACTGCAGAGTCACTATGGGGAGGCGCACCGGCAGCACGTCTCCAGGGAAAGTTTGGCGCTGCTGGAGATGGGGGCCCAGGGCTGGGCACCGGCCAGGGCAGGCCATCTTTCCTGGGTGGGTTTCTCAGGCACTGCCAGACTAGAGCTCTACCTGCAAATCCTCTGGGTTTTGCAGCTCTGCAGAGGCACCTGCTGGGTTGGGAGGAGGAAAGGTGTGTTTGAAAGACAGGGAGCGATGACCCCTGGGCATTGCTGTCCTCAGTCATTTTCTAAGCCGGCCCGTTCGGTGGGAAGATGGGAAAGATGCTGTTGTGGACACACGCCAGACTCCCAGGGAACTGTGGGTGGGCTTGAAAGGAGACAGCCTGGGTTCTCCTCCTCCCAGGGCTTGAGAACCCAGCCCAGGGCCTGATGGGGGCAGATCTGGGAGCCACTTTGAATTCTCTGTGCCACACACACAGCCGGGCCCTGGCAAGAGGTGAGGGAGATGCCCCAGGGAACAGAAGAGCAAAGAGATGTGTCCTGGGAACAGGAACAAAGGAATTTGCCCCCAGTAGGGTGTCTGGACTGTGCTGTCCTTTCTCCACATCCGCTTTCCACATACGTGATGAAGAGTTAACATTGACGTTGCCAGAGGTATAGGGGTCTAGGAATCCACTCTCGCTCGATTCATGCAGCCCAGAAATGAGTCCCTGGGTGAAAATGGTGGCCAGTGAAGCCTCTCCAAATAGAATTAATAAAAAACAGGAGGCAAGAAAGAGTCTGGCTGTAAGCACTCAATCACTGTTGGCCGTTTTTATTGTCTAGCAGACTGTATTTGATTAACAAAATCAGAACATAAAGTGAATTTGCTACAAATAGGATCTGAATTGTGCCTAAGATTGTCCCCTGCTCTATGGTGGGTCTGCCTCACACCCACACCTCCCCAGGCAGGTGGCAGATAGACCATGCTCGCTCTCCTGGGGCGTCATGTAAGCCTGTATCCCCCTTCCTGCTGTCCTGATGCTCCCCGCCGCTCCCCTAAACCTGATCTGCTGCTTTAGCCTGTGTACCCAAATTTTGGACCACAAGGAGGCCAATAGAAAAGGATCTTCTGTCTCCAGCCCCCAACACCTCCCGGCAGAAGGCAAATGTGCATGTGGCGTTGTTCTGCCAGCAGCAGAGCAGGGAGGCTCCAGAGGCAGCCTGTCTTCTTTTATGGGGGCTGGGGGCACTGGCACCTTTTCTCACTTGGGGGCAGGTGAGGGATGGCGGGGAGAGCCCAGCTCCCGGCACATCACCTCCCCAGGGACTTGGGCCCCAGCTCACGGGAAGCAGGGCTGAAGTCCAAGATGGTTAGATTGTGGCGAGGATGGATGGCAGGTGGCTAAGAAAGACAGATTCCCCATGTGGGCACAGCATCTCTCAGAGACCCAGCATGCCAGGGCCGGGGCCAGGCTAATGGCTGGATCCATTTTGATTAACGTTTTAATTGGGGATTAATGCAGCAGAAGCCGCCTCTGAGTCAACCCAGCCAGGAGCCCTAATCCTGACAGATGAAGCCACACTGGCAGAGAAACGCAGTGGGGCCTGGGACAGAGCTGCCTGGAGAGAGAGGGTGGGGTCCCCGAGACACCTGCTCGGAGTTAGGGAGTGACACGGGCTGAGAAGTCTGGTACAAGGGAAAGAAACCAAAGCCTGGGGAGCTCTGGAAAGAAACGCTTTTCTTTTGGGAAGTTGCCTTGGAGGCTGTGTTTCTCATATTAGCACAGATAATCGTGGCTGAAAGCAACACAAATGTACTCTCTTATGGTTTGGAGAGGTCAGAAGTCCAAAATAGGTCTCCCTGGGCTAAAATCAAGGTGTCAGCAGGGCCTCTGAGAGAGACAATCCATTTCCTGCCTCCAGCTTCTAGGAGCTGCCTGCATTCGTTGGCTCCTGGCCCTGCAGCTCTCCAATGTCTGTTCCTTCCCGGAAGCCAAATGGCAAGCCAGGGTTTGACAAAACCAGGGGTCTTGATTTCTTACTCTGTTCTTGTGCAAATACAAAATAGGAATAAAGATGTTTCCCTAACCATGGGCAATTGCCTACTTCTTTCCATCCCCAAAGACTTTCCAAAAGCTTGTCCATAGAAAATAGAGACTAGAGACCCAGTCCCTGGCTCTCTGCAGGCGTGGGAGACAGCAGCCCTACTCTCCATGAGGAGCCGACAATCCCAGGAAGCAAAGAGGTTTGGCTTGGGGTCCCACAGACCAGAGTTTAATTCTGGCCTCATCGCTTATGGTGAGTTTTCACTTCTCGAAGTCTCCATTTTCTCATCTGTAAAATGGGGGTATTAATAATAACGCCTGCCTCGTTAAGGAAGGACGTAGGCTCATGCAGTTAAGCTCCTAGCACAGCGCCTGGCACTCGTGAGTGTGCAGTACAGTCGAGGGAGGCTGGAACCGGTGCTATTTATAGCACTTTGTGCATTTAGTGCTCTCTCTGCATTTCCCCCTCCCACTCAGAAGAGGGACTTCAAGCGAGCTTAAGACAGAAAGAACAGAGTCAAGAGAGGACTGCAACCCTGGGGAGAGACCCAAGAGAGATTATAGCAGTTGGGATCAGCACACGACAGTTTATGGAACCCTTTCGTGTTCTTGATGGAATGTGGCCCTGGGGGCAGGAGATGGGTGACACTGCCGGTCCCTGAAGCAAACCTGCATTCACCAGACCCTCGTACCCTCATCTCACAGGGAGGAAGCAGGCTCAGAGAGGCCAGTAGCCCCGTGGGTGTGATGGCTGGTCAGGCCACAGGGTGGTTGGCAAGAGCTCCAGGGACAGCCAGCCAAACCTCACTGGGACCTCCATGACCTCCCGCTGCCCCTCCAGAACCTTACTCCCCCCAGACGCTGCACCTGCGTCCTCAGTCACTGCCGACGTCATGGCAGTCACATGGGAACTGCCACTTGGAACAGTTGGAGTTGATCGTTTGTCTTTGGAAAGGTGCGTGCAACCCTCGGTCATAGTTTGTGAGCATCGTCTTTCTCCCTAAAGGAGGGACAAGAAACTGAATGGGGGCATCAGTGGATCTACGGGCTCATGAGGGGGAATTTGATCAGTCAGCCCCAATGCAGAAGATTTTTCTTGCAAACCAGGGGGGTTTCCGCTTCTCTGATGAAGTGGGGTGCACAGAGCCTTCCCGAACCCCAAGGGGTATTGAGGGGTTGGGCAGTTGAGGACTCCCTGCCAACTGCCCAACTTGTGGGACCAAGAGGCTCCCTACAACCCACCCCTGGGTGATGGACAAGTGAGTCGTGGTAGATGCAGATTTCAGAATCCTGCAGATTGCTCAGGAATCAGAAGCAATGAACTGGAAGTAGGTTTAGCAACACATGTAGGTCTTAAAAACATGGTGCCGCGTAGAAGCAGAAGCAGAAGTTTATAGCACTATGCTATTTATGTAAATGAACACACACGCATTACATATTTTACTAAGATTCAAGCACATTTCAGGATCTGTATCAACCACATGGAAGGTGCTGGGAGGGCAAGAAGCACAGGGCTTGGAACGCAGGAGAAAAACGAGTGCGGGAAGGCAGCCCGGCTCAGGCCCGCGGGGAGGGCGCTACGGAGCAGAGTGTGGTTCAGGCCCAGGTTCAAAAAGAAAAACGAGGCACCACACCGCTCTCACACTCTCTCCGCGGCCATTGCCGACCTCATGGCAGACACAGGGGAACTGCCACCTAGTTCGCCTCCTCTTGCACGTATGAGGAGGCTCCACTGGGCTGCGTCAGGTAACTCAGATCGTCTCCCCAACCGCAACTCCTTCTGTGACCTCCTTGCTGCCCTCTTGCCTTATACTCTAGCATGTTCATGGGTCCCAGGGGTCGGGATTAGGACATGGCCATCTGGGGGAACGTCGGGCATCATTCTGTCTACCACATCCCCCCCAATGGTGTCTGCCTGCACTGGCCACCTGGGGCTAGTGTGGACGCAGCTTCAGAAGGGAAGGGGGCAGGCACAGTAGGGCCCTGCCTCTGGGCCTGGCCACAACACCGCTAGCCCGGCCCCCCTGCCTTCGCTGGCCCAGCAGGGTCCACGCTGCCAGGTGGCATCCCCACACACACACACACACTCATCAGGTGAGTTTGGGTTCCCTGACACCATCCCTGGGAGATGCCCATCCCTCCTCCGCCCTTGACTTGGCAGGTGTCCTCTCCTGTCCGTCATCCCACAGCCTGGAGCTCTTCCTGGGACCTGAAGCTCACCACAGCGCCACCTCTCTGTAACCTCAGCAAATGGCACCCTGGGAGTCCTGATTCTCCTCTTGCCTTGTTCCCTCCCGCCACGCCCCTTCCCTGGGCGGGTTCTATGGGCTCTACCTCCAAAGCCCTCCCATCCTCGAGTGCCTGTGCTGGTGCAGGCCCTGGTCGCCTGTCCAGAACGGCTGCAGTAGCTTCCAGCGGGGCTCACCTTATCGTGACCCACCAGGCCCTGCTCCCCCGGCCCTGCCGCCCTCCTAAACACACTCTTCTCCCACCTTCCCCGCTCACACACCCTGCCCAGCCACTCAGCCTTCTCTCGGGACTTTGACCGTCCAAGCCCACCATGAAGCTCAGCCCCGTGTCCCCTCCTCCGAGAAGTCCTCCCTGACCCCTCCAGCTAACATTGCGCCCTGCCCCACAATAATCATTCCCCATCTGTCACCTTGCTCTCTCTACATCACTGCAGCCTGAAGTGATTTGTGTACTCATTTGGAGTCTGAGTGTTCAGTAACTAATGAACAAATGAATGAATGAATGAATGCAGCCTCAGGATGTCTAGTCCCCACCATCGCAGCCCCGTCCTCAAGTGGCTTCCTCTTCCCGAGCATCTGTAGACTCAGGGGCAAAACCACTACAGCTCACCATGCTCTAGAACTGACAGAACTAACACTGCAGAGAAATAAAAAATCCCAGATTTCTTGTGAAGGTATCGGGCTGGGTGAGAAGCAGCGTCGTTTTTCAGAAGCACAGACTTGGGGCCTGTGGTCTGTGAGCTCCAGGATCTCGAGATGCGGAGCCACCTCCCCCACGCTCATCCGAGTGAGCATGGGCAGAACCAGAGGCCGCGGAGAGAGGTGCCCGTTGTCCATCCCGGCCTCGCGCTCGCCCCAGGGCACTCTGGCTTCTCGAGGAGGGTGCTCGCCGGGTTCATCATCGCTCTCCGAGTACGAGCAGCCTCTCCGTGCTCAAGATCCTGCTGAGACAGGGTAACTTGCCACTCAGGAAACTCACATGGGGGCAGGGGGAGGGGGAGAAAGGAGGAATCGCTAATTGGGAGTTAAAGAAGACATTCCTAAAGAGAAGAGGTGGTTACAGCTGTGGGGCTCGCAGGGGCCCTCGGGGCTGGCGTGAGCAGGGGATCGTTCCTTTGTCCCCCCGCCATTCTGCCAAACAGAATGCCATTTTTCTCTTGTCTTCCGTGGCAGAGATTAAGCCGATCTGAAAAGCAATATTGCTCAGCAAAGTGCCTGAAAGGGCTTATTCCCACGCCTCGAAGGGATCCTGGCAGGCTTTGCCCGAGGAGATGGGTTCCAATTTTAGGTGAAGTTAAAAACACTCTCACAGCCTGAAATCAAATCATCTGTATTTCAAACATAGGTGTACCCTCATCTCCCTAAACCCGATCTGTGAGACCTTAGCTCTGCCCAAAGATAGGCGCATGGAGTGGTAATTAGGCTTTTCCGTGACGGAATTTCAATTCCATTATGAAATAGCAATTCCATGACGAAAAACCCCCTTCCAGCCCGCCCCCAGCTCCTGTTAACACACGTTCTCATCCACACTGGGGTGTGTTCCCCCGGAACGCGCCCAGAGCGGCGATCAACACTCAGGTATTGGAAATAGGTTTCCTTTTGGGATTGATAAACCTTGCGGGTACCATGCACTTCCATCCGGGATTGGGCTGGGGGAGGGGTGGCGATTTTAAAAAATGAAGTATTATCCTCTTACTTCTTTTCTGTGCATCAGCTTAGTTCTGGAGAGCTCCCTTGCCATAATCCAGGGTTCTTAAACGGAAATGCCTAGGGGCCCAGGGAGGAAACATACATGAGAGGAGGAGAGTGGGTGTCCGGAAGACAACAGAGAGGGGTGAGGGCGGTGGTGCGGTGGAACGTGCATGTGCCGCCTAAAGAGGACAGCCATTTCTCAGTTGGAATTTGGGCCAAGTGTTGCCAGATATTCTGGTGGTTTAAGAGAAGCCAAGAATATGGATTTTTTTTACATGAAATTTCTCAATTTTCAAAAATTTGTCCAAGCAAGTAAAATATTTGTGAACCAAATTCATCCCATGAGCTGGTAATGAATAAGCCATCTTATTCTAGCGGTGCAAACCCTTAGCTCTGAGGGTTGAGAGGGAAGGCGTCCATGCAAGCTGATGTGTTGGCCTCAGTTCCCCAGAAGTGCCCTCATCGTGGGGGTCTCAGCGACAGGAAATGCACTCATTCAGCAAGCACTTTTTGAGCTCTTCCACTCCTGGCACAGGGGCTGAGAGATGAATAAAACACAGTTCTTCCCCCAGGGAGCAAGCAGTCGAATGAATGAACCAGGTTTCACACAGAGAAATCTAAAACTGGGTGGTAAGTGTCATGAAGACGGATGCGCCAGTTGTAAGATGAGGGGGTTCTTGGTTTAGCTGGAAGAGCTCAGGAAGGCTTCCTGGAGGAGTCCTGTCATACCTGGGGGACCCAGCCGTCCAGTTCACCTCTGTATCCTCAAGGTCTGCGGACCCCGGGCTGCAGACCAGTACCAGTCCGTGGCCGAGTAGGAGCCGGGCTGCACGGCAGGAGGTGAGCGCCGAGGGTTAGCGAAGCTTCCTCTGTGTTTACAGCTGCTCCCCATCACATGCCACCCCAGTCCGTGGAGAAACTGTCTTCCGTGAAACCAGTCCCCAGTGCCAAAAAGGTTGGGGACTGCTGCTCAAGGTGATGTTTGCTGGCACATCACCTGATAATTTGCGTCTCTTTATCCACTGCCTCTTACGGCAAGAGGTACCTGTTTTCCATTTATGGAAACGATGCGAGGTATCCCTTTAAGATAAATACTAATAGCAATAATAGACAAGAATTATTAAGTACTCCTGGAAAACATTTAGGAGATGAAAAAATAAATATTTTTTAAAAAGAATTATTGAGTACCTACTCGGTGCCAGGCACTGCATTAAGTGCCCTTATGCAGGTACTTCGTTTTATCCTCTCAGTAATCCTGCGAAGTAGGTCACGTGGCTGTGCGCATTTACAGACGAGGAAATTGAAGCACATCAGGGTTGAGTAACTCGCACAGGGCGTGGGGCTCAAAAGTCTGTGTTTATGACCACTGCACCAGCATCACGGAGGTTTGGGGCCAGATAATTCTCTGTTGCGAGGACTTGACCTGTGCAACGTGGGACATATAGCAGAATCTGGCCTACAATGTGCCAGTAGCATGCCCCAGCCATAACCATCAAAGATGCCCCCAGGCACTGCCACTTGTCCCCTGGGGGACAGAATCAGCCCTGGTTGAGAACCATAGGTCTGCACTAAACTGCCTTTCGAAGCTAAATAAATACCAAAAAAGGGGGGGCGGTTTCTAAAATATAATGTTAAGTAAGATGATGGTACAGGTGTTGGGTGAGAGTCCACTGGAGTGTCAGCTGTCTGGGGTCAGGGGCCCTTCCCATTCTGCGTGCTGCTCCTTCCCAGCGCTTCAAGCAGGGCCTGCACACAGCGGTGCCAGGACGTCACTATGGCATAGTGAGGGGGACAGTGACGGGTGGAAGATGCCAGACAGCACTGTTGCTATTTCACCGTTAAGTGAACGTCCTGGTTCAGGCTGCTGTAACAAAACACCACGGACCGGGTGGCTCACGTGGCAGATGTTTGTTTCTCACGGTGCTGGAGGCTGGAGGGCAGGGGGTGCCCGCAGGCCCTGGGGAGGCCCCCCCTCCAGGTGTCAGACTGCGAGGCCTCCCGTGTCCCCACGTGGGGGACAGAGTGCCCTGGTGGCTCCCCCTCGCCTTATACGACCACCAGTCCCATCGTGGGGGCTCCCATGCCCGAACCCCGCCACCTCCCCCAGCGCCCACCTCCCAACCCCGTCGCACGGGGGTCAGGGCTTCAGCCCCGACTCGTGGGGACCCCGCGACAGTGGAGACCTGCGGGCCCGCGCTGTCGGTGAGCCGGGGCCGGGGTCACTGCGGGTCTCTGCTCCCTTCTCCCCGCAGGCCCGCGAGCTATGTGAAGGCCCAAAATGACCCTGCTCCCGGGAGACAACTCGGACTACGACTACAGCGCGCTGAGCTGCGCGTCGGACGCGTCGCTGCACCCCGCCTTCCTGCCGGCGCGCGGGCCGCTCAAGGGCGCCTACTACCGGCGCGCGCGGCGGCTGCGGCCCCAGGACGGCCCGCGCCCGGGCGCGCCCGAGGACCGGCGGCGCCAGATCATCATCAACGTGGGCGGCAGCAAGTACTCGCTGCCCTGGACCACGCTGGACGAGTTCCCGCTGACGCGGCTGGGCCAGCTCAGGGCCTGCACCAACTTCGACGACATCCTCAACGTGTGCGATGACTACGACGTGACCTGCAACGAGTTCTTCTTCGACCGCAGCCCCGGCGCCTTCGGCACCATCCTGACGTTCCTGCGCGCCGGCAAGCTGCGGCTGCTGCGCGAGACGTGCGCGCTGTCCTTCCAGGAGGAGCTGCTCTACTGGGGCGTCGCCGAGGACCAGCTGGACGGCTGCTGCCGGCGCCGCTACCTGCAGAAGATCGAGGAGTTCGCCGAGATGGTGGCGCGCGAGGACGAGGAGGACGCGCTGGACAGCGACGGCCGCGACAGCGCCGGCCCGGCCGAGGGCGAGGGCCGCCTGGGCCGCTGCATGCGGAGGCTGCGCGACATGGTGGAGAGGCCGCACTCGGGGCTGCCCGGCAAGGTGTTCGCCTGCCTGTCGGTGCTCTTCGTCACCGTCACCGCCGTGAACCTGTCCGTCAGCACGCTGCCCAGCCTGAGGGAGGAGGAGGAGCAGGTAAGGGCCCGCCCCCCCCATTGTCACCTCCTCCAAGAAGCCTTCCCTGACTGCACGCTGGCTGAAAAGCGTCCCCAGTCCCTCCTGACATCGTGCCGTGTGACAGCGTGTTTGCATGCGTGTCTGACTCCCTGTTAATGCGTGAGCATCATGGGGTTGATGGCCATGCCTGCCCCTGTCCCCACTGTGCCCCTACCCCTAGTCTGGAACAACCTCCAGCACAGACAGGGCACCCAACCGCTGTTTGTCGAATGAACAAATGAGGGAATGAATGAGTGCTGTGATTCATGATGTGTCTGGCCCTAGACTAAGCGTATTACATACATCACCAAAATTCATCTCCAACACTTGAGTCCCTTCTCAGACTTCGCAATCCCTTGTAGAATAATAGCCCAGACACATGTTCTGGGTCCTGAACATGATTTTTATTGATAGGCGTGTGTGTGTGTGTGTGTGTGTGTGTGTGCCCTCAAATGGTGAGCGTGTCTTTGTGCTAAATAAGAGAACACGCGTCTACTCCAGGGCCTGCATGGGTCACTGCGAGGGCCCCCACTTCCCCAGCAGTTGGCAGGAGCCGGAGCTGGGCTGCAAGCCCACCTGTCTCGTCTTCTCTGCAGACCCCCCAGCCCCGTGCGGTGGGCTCTTACACCCGCCTGCTGCCTGAGGACGTTGAGGCAGAGCAGCTTTGACCAAACCCAGGTCCAACCGAGTCCAAAGTCTGTGCTCTTCACATGGAACCGTGGGTTCCACGTGGCAGCCTGGGCACCCAGCACAGCCCCCAGAAGTATGTGATTGGCTCACACAGCGTCTCCCCAAAATTCGACTTAATAACATTTAAAAGTAAGGCGTTTTTCATATAAAAATTCAAACTCCGAGCTCCTCTTGAGAAAAACTCTGAGATTGGCCAGGAGCGGTGGCTCACGCCTGTCATCCTAGCACTCTGGGAGGCTGAGATGGATGGATCGTTTGGACTCAGGAGTTTGATACTAGTCTGAGCAAGAGTGAGACCCCGTCTCTACTAAACATACAAAAATTAGCCGCATGTTGTGGCTTACGCCCGTAGTCCCAGCTACTTGAGAGGCTGAGGGAGGAAGATTGCTTGAGCCCTGGAATTTGAGGTTGCTGTGAGCTATGATCATGCCATTACACTCTACCCAGAGTGACAGAGTAAGACTCTGTCTCAAAAAAAAACAAAAAAAAAAAAACTGCGAGGTTGCCATCTGTCCCACCCCCAGCCCGCATTCCCACACGGCAGCTCTTGGTGGAAGCTGAGTCCACGGGGTGTCTTCCTCCCCGATTCAGCCTCCTTATGAATCAGACCATGGCTCTTAGAGCCTGTGACCCCTTTCCTACCCTTGGGGATTCTGAAAGCAAGTTTCAGAGAGACCAAAGAGTCTCAGACAGGTACAAATTGCATAGGCATTGGAGAAATAGGTATAGCGGTATGAATTGAACATAAATGTCATGCCACCCAGCATTTATTGAGCACTGGCTGTGTGCCCTGCATGTGGCAAATGCTTTACATGCGCTCTCTGATTTAACATTGGACGTACTCGCCATGTGAGAATTCTTCCACGTACGTGTATTATGGAGGAAGTAGCAATAGCTGTTACATCTGTGATCCATAGAGGGTTGCTGGCACTTTGATTAAATGTTGAATTTTAAAAACAGGTGTTAAGAAAACAGCACTCAACTAGTAAAATTAACTTTTGATAAGCATAAGGGTAGTGATGAAGAGGTCAGGGCTGAAGCCAGACAGCCTGAATTTGGATTCTACTGGGTGAGCTCTAGCTGTGTACCTGTGCACAGTTTATGTCACCTCTCTATGCCTCAGTTTCCTTGCCTGTCCAAAGGGGCTAAAAACAGGCCCACCTCACAGTGTCGTGAGCATTCAGTGAGCCCTCAGAAGTGATGGGAAGTGACTGGAAGAGATCCATAATGAGTTTGCAGAAGTGCTAACTCTAAGGATTTATATGCACCTGTCAAAAAGAAAAAGGAAGGAGATGGAGACATGGTCTGATTAAAAAAAGAAAAAGGAAGGAGAGAATATGCTCACTATTTGAGACCTGTCTGGAAGTCCCTGTACTTATTATAGAATTCTTCTCAGCTCCAACATCTTGGATCCTAATCTTATCAGGAAAATACTAATAAAATCACTGTTTTATTCAAATTCTGATACTTGCTTTAAAAAAAGTAATACCTGGCTTTTTTTATGATTCAATGAAAATGCTATTCTTAAACTTTCATTTTGGGGATTCACTGTGGTATTCAGTGTTTCACTTGCTCCTTGTGCATACGTTTGAGCACCAGCTGTATGCAGGCACTACATGGGAGGCAGAGTGACCAGGACAGGTCTTCCAACCTCAAGGAGCTTCAAGTCTAGTGGGGTGGGAGTGACACCCCCCCATGACTATAAGTATGAGCCACAAGCCCAGGGGGTTCTGTGTGAGAGGCCACCCACATTGCTGGGGCTACTTGGAGGGGGCACATCTAGGAAGGCTTCCCAGAGGAAGGGGCTTCCTATCCCAGATGTTTGAGACCTTAGAGCCCCACTGAGTATGAGCTCGCATCTCCAAGCTCAAACATATTCCTAGAGAGAAAGCTATTAGAGTGGGGCTTGTAGAACCCAGCTGTGCCCTAGAACCTACAAGATGCCCCAGGCTAGGACCATTTTTGCCTTTTCTCTCTGCCAAGGGCCCCTTCGAGGGGGAGGGCACTTACACTCCTGACCGAGAGACAAGCTGGCAGCCTGCACGCCAAATTCAGCATGAAGATGTGTTTTAGTGGGCCATAGAGTGTTTTCTCTGCATTGAATTACCACTGGCACTTAAATCAACATTTTATCTGTTTAACCAACAATTATCGCCAACATTTATCACCAGGAGATTTCACATAAAACTGCACATTTCAAGCTTCTCTTTAAAGCTTTAGTGAGGCAGCCTGAGCCCGAATTCTCCCGGGGCAGTGACAGGGGCACTGAGCAAGACTGCCAAGCTCGCCTGGGGCCCCGGCCCTACCTAGCCCATTGCGTGTCTCCTCTGCCGCCTGGCCCCTGCTGACTTCCGAGTTTGCACACCCGCTACCCCCAGCCCAGTGCTCTTCCATTCCCTCCCCTAACCACTGCGCATTGAGCACCTGCCGCAGGCCGGGCCTTTCCAGGCACTGGGGGTCCGGGGAGTGAATGACACACACCGACTGCCCCGCCCTGTGGGGCTCCAACCTGCTGGGCCGCCGGGGTGGGGTGTGGGCAGGCAAGTAACTTACAATGCATATCAGAACATGATGATTGCTCTGACCACGTAAAGCTGGGCAAGGGGAATTTGGGTGCAGGGAAAAGGGGGGATTTTAAATAGAGGGGTCACAATAGGTCTTTCTGAGAAGCGATGACTGAAGCAGAGCTGGAGGAGGGGAGGGCAGGGTGTGGGCGAGGAGGGACCCCCCCAGCAGAAGCCAGGTTGGGGTTGAGCCGGGGTGTTAGAGCAGTGAGGAGGGGCCCGAGACGCTGGGGTGGAGGAGGAGGTCAGAGAGACGATGGATGGACAGACAGACGGACAGCCCACACGCACCCGGGGAGGACTCTGGCTGTCCCTGGGAGTCTAGGGAGCCGTGGAGGGCGCTGAGCAGTGCGTCAGGGTCTGGGTTATGCTCTCGGGTCCCTCCGGCCACGTGCGGAAACTGCGCTGCAGGGATGCGGAGCCCAGGGACGAGGCGACTGCAACTGCCCAGGTGAGAGAGCGTGGAGTCCAGGCCAGGTGGGGGCAGTGGACAGAGAAGAGGGTTGATTCTCGCCCCGTTTTAAATGAAGAGCTAACGAGGGTTCCCGAGGATGACACGGAAGGTTCTAGAGAGAGGTGGAAAGGATGGGGGCAGGTCTCTAGTCTGAGCAACTGGAAGGTCGGGGTTGCCCAAAGCAGGGGAGGGAGGACCACCTGGGGGCAGGAGAGACCAGGAGCCTGGTCTGGGCCTGTCTGACACCAGGCAGTGCCGTCAGGGAGGCGGCCGGTGGGGGCCTGGAGTTCAGGGCCAAAGTCTGGGCTGGAGAGAGGAGGAGTGGCCGACGGAGAGGTGGTGGTTAACGCACCAGGCCCGGGCGTGGGCACAGCTAGAGAAAGGCCGCAGGGCGACCCGGCACGGAGCGGCAGGTGAGCCGGGCCCAGGGCACCTTCTGCCCGGGCAGCCCGGCGCCGGCCCAGGGCAGAGCTCCCCTGCTCCTTCCCTGGTGGGCGGACGGCTGACCCTCCCGTGTGCTCCCCCCTCTCCCAGGGCCAGTGCTCCCAGATGTGCCACAACGTCTTCATCGTGGAGTCGGTGTGCGTGGGCTGGTTCTCCCTGGAGTTCCTCCTGCGGCTCATCCAGGCGCCCAGCAAGTTCGCCTTCCTGCGCAGCCCGCTCACGCTCATCGACCTGGTGGCCATCCTGCCCTACTACATCACCCTGCTGGTGGACGGCGCCGCCGCGGGCCGCCGGAAGCCGGGCGCGGGCAACAGCTACCTGGACAAGGTGGGGCTGGTGCTGCGCGTGCTGCGGGCGCTGCGCATCCTGTATGTGATGCGCCTGGCCCGCCACTCGCTGGGGCTGCAGACGCTGGGGCTCACGGCCCGCCGCTGCACCCGCGAGTTCGGGCTCCTGCTGCTCTTCCTCTGCGTGGCCATCGCCCTCTTCGCGCCCCTCCTCTATGTCATCGAGAACGAGATGGCCGACAGCCCCGAGTTCACCAGCATCCCCGCCTGCTACTGGTGGGCCGTCATCACCATGACGACCGTGGGCTACGGGGACATGGTCCCCAGGAGCACCCCGGGCCAGGTGGTGGCCCTGAGCAGCATCCTGAGCGGCATCCTGCTGATGGCCTTCCCCGTGACCTCCATCTTCCACACCTTCTCCCGCTCCTACCTGGAGCTGAAGCAGGAGCAGGAGAGGGCCATGTTCCGCAGGGCCCAGTTCCTCATCAAGGCCAAGTCGCAGCTCAGCGGCATGTCCCAGGACAGTGACATCTTGTTCGGAAGTGCCTCCTCGGACACCAGAGACAACAACTGACACCAGAGGCCACCCCCGCCCTGTGTGCCATCCACTGCAGAAGCCCCCGCAGGGACATGCCGCGTCTGAGGCCGGCCCTGGCGTGGGACTGACTCAAACCACGCCCCAGGAGGGACACCCGAAACCTCAGCGCGGCAGGCCCCGCCCTGCCAGGACCAGAAGGGAAACAGCTGGGTCAGGAGCCCCGGCCCGGCCCGGCCCGCCGATGTCTGTTTCCCTCAACAAGGAGGCGGCTTGTTCTTCCCACCGTGTAAATAGTGAGCCCAGGAAAAACTCGCTTTGTGGGTCTGCCTGGAGGGAAAGTACGAACAGCAGCAGCCACGCTGTCGTTCCTGTGGATGGTGGCTAAGGAAAGGAAACTGAGGACAGGGACAGAGAGTGCCCTCCCGGGGCTCTCACACAAGACAGCTGTGTCTCCCGGCACAGCGGCCGGCGTGGGCACTGGACGTGAAGGGCCGGTGCCCTGGGCTGGTCCGGCCCGGCGGGCCCGAGTGGGGCCGGAGGGAAAGGGAGAGCAGAGACCCAACCGCAAATGCCCAGTAAAGGCCACGTTCCCTCGCTCTCGTTTCTCTTTCATTTCCGCACCTCCGGGCCTTTCTTTCTCCCATTTCCCTTTTATCCTCGCTCCTGCTCTCCTGGCCTCCGTTCTCCCCTTTTACACCATAAGACCCGTTTCTCAAACGTCTCCCCCAGGGCACCCCCAACAGTTGAAAGGCCGCCAAGGGGCCTGCAGCAATGCCGATCACGGGGCAAAATGGCTTCATTCTATTTTTAAAAATTAGTGTGGGTTTTTGTTCTGCCCCACATTTATTTTAATATTTGGGGGAAAAGTGCTTTACATCATTTATCTCAATGTAAACCTAGAATGGTTGATGCCTCGGGAAAGCGGTCCGTGGTCCCCCAGGCAGTCTGAGAAGCACAGTTGGAAGCCCCCGAGGGCTCCCTGTGCCCACAAAGACCTACAGAGCACCCCCGGCCCGGAACAGACCCCTGATTTCATGGAGTGTACGGGGCCCGCGGTGGAGCGATTCTGCCTCAGCTGGCAGGGATTGGGGACTCTTGGTGACAGCACGGGGCAGGGCTTCACACCCAGGTCACAGTCACAGCTTGTCCTCGCCCCCACAGACACGGCAACTCGACCCTCTTCTTCGCCCCAGACCCCCGGCCCCCGTGGCCATGGCCCTGCCCTTGGCCCGGCAGCAGAAAGCCCAAACTTTAAAGCAAATCCCACTGCACCGCCGCCCTGCCTGAGTCCTCGGAGGCCGTCCGTCGGTGGGAGTGAGCCCAAACTTCCCACTGCAGCTGCTCCTCCACCCCCCTCTGTTTCACTGCCCCCGGCCCCGTGGGCCACCCCTCTGCTCTTCCAGCAAGCCCAGCCCATTCCCGACTCAGTGCCTTCACACCTGCAGACCCCTCTGCTGGGAATGCCCTCCCTGCAGAACACCGCATGGCCGGCTGTGTCCTGTCCCCTTCCCAGACTGGCCTTCCCTGGCCTCCTCTGTGAAGAGTGCACAGCAGCGCCCCACCGTCCCCCCCCCACTCTGCTTTCACCCACCAAACCCTGAAGTTGCCTCATTTACTTCTCTGCGACTTAGTTATGGTCTGTCTCCTGCACGACAGGGACAGTCTACACTGGCAGGAACTCAGCAATATGACTCAGCACTAGCTCCCGGCACCCAGCATAAGGCCTGCACCTAGTAGGTGCTCAGGAAACACCCACTGAAAGAATGAAGGGAAGCAGGAAAGAGGGCCAGAGCACAAAAGGCATTTAACACTGGGTGCCGGGTCCTCCGGGCACCCCGTTTTCTCTCCCTTGGGTGGGGAGGCCACAGCTGCGTCAGCATGCTATAGCCACGGTGATGCAGAGTGGAAATACCATCCAACTCACCAGGGCCTCGTTAAAGGCTCCCCTGACACCTGCTTCCAGTGACTCACGCCTGAAAAGTAAGTTTTCTGACTAATTAGAGCTACCTTCCCCAGCCCGGCGGGTGTCGTAGCAATCGGGCACTGCCGTCATCATAATAATGGCTGAGATTTATGAGGTGACCTCCCCCGCCCCCCACCCCCCGCTCAGAAGTGCCTAGGAAAGACAGGAGTGAATTGGAAATGCTCAACAGACAAAAACAGGGTGCAGAAAGAATTATAGGACGGAGCCCTGTAAACTGAGGGGAGCAGGAAAGCAAACAGCATCTGGGGTGGCGGAGGGAACCCTGAACAGGGCAGCTCTGGGAGGGAGAGGACAGGGGCTGGGGCCACTGAGTGGTTGGGATTTCTGGCGTTGTCTTGCAGATTCTGATCCATCCTGGTGGCCGAGGCAGAGGCTTGGGCTTAGGTACCTTTTGAGACCTCGCTTGAGGTCTTGACCCCTTCACCTGGAGTGGGGCTTAAGGGCCCTTGGCCCTAATTAAGAAGCTGGGAGGCTTCTAGACACCTAACAAGCTGTTTCTAGGACTGTGACCAACTTTTATTTTTTTAGAAGTGGGGTCTCACTATATTGCCCAGGCTGGCCTGGAAGCAGTCCTCCCGCTTGAGCCTCCTGAGTAGCTGGGACTACAGGCGAGCACCAACCACCATGTGGTCACATGGTTACCCCCATCTCTGACTTAGCTCAGCACTTCTCCAGGGCTCCTGGGGCAGAGGGAGGTTTGGGGGAGGCTGACTCAACAATACAGATTCTCAGGCCCCACCCCTGAACAGGGCTGGGGCTGGGGAGAGGCAAGTGAGGCACTTGCCTCCGGCACAAATCCAAAAAGGAGCCAGAAAGCTCAGTAATCGAGATAAATCATATTTTAATGCAATTTTTTAAAATCAAAGTTAATGCTAAAAAAATCCACGATGGATAAAATATCAGAGTTTTAAATAAAGACAGGATTCTGTCGAGTCTTTGCACTTGCACGACGCGGCCTTCCGTGCCTTTCCGCTGTTCTGGCCCTGTCCTGCCGCCCCGGTATGTCCCAGCCAGACGGCCCCTCACGGCCGAGGACAAGTCTCCAAAGACATGGTGGGATCTCGGCACCACGCCCGCGGCTGTTGGGGCTCTGGCGCACCGACCCGCTGAAGGGGGCGAGAGTGGGCACCAGCCACCCTCCCACCGCGGGGCGTCGGGCTCCGGCCCCTGCCCTCGGGGTCCCCACGGCGCTGATGGGAGAGACATGGTGAACACGCGCTGGGAGAGACATGGTGAACACGCGCGTTGAAGGGAAGAATTTCTGCTGTTGGTGAGCGCAGGGGTGACCGGGCGACCAGGGCCGGCAGGAGGTGGAGAACAGCTGCCTGGAACAGCAAGGTCAGGGAGGGACGCGCTGAGCAGGTGGCATTTAAACGGAGACCTGGAGGAGGGGGAGAGGCCGCAGTCCCAGCAGAGGGGTCGGCCGGTGCAGAGCCCAGAGGCGGGGGCGACCCCGGGCAGAGAAGCGACCAGGGAGGAATCCCAGACGCGAGTTTCCGGAGCCCCCACTCCGCGCCAGGTCCCGCCACAAACAGGACTGGACTCAGGCCTTGCCCCACAGTTGCAAGTAATTTGGTGGAGGGGGAAAAATGAGTGGATAAAATATTTCTGCGCATGCAGAAAGACAGGGGCGAGGGCCAGAGGAGCCTGGAAGAGGACGTCGCAAAAGCAAGGTGATCTTCGCTCAGGTTGCCCTTGGCTGGCATGGCCTCACCTGTTTTCCTCCTGCTGAACCCGGTGCTCCCAGCCCTCGCTCTCTTCCCTCGCCTCCTCGTCCGGCCTTGTCGGCTACTGTCCGGAGTCTGACCCCTGTCCTCCCCTCTGTCCTCTCCCACCTGGACTGCCCTGGCAGCTCCGCCCTGGCCTGCAGCAGAGCAGGAGGTTCCTGGTGGAACCCAAGTCGGATCGTGCCCCTCCTCTGCTCGGAGCCCCAGCCCACTCCCACCCGGGACGCCCCATCCGCTCACAGTCCCAGCCAGAGCCGCTTACAGCCCCCCCACCCCGTCTCCTTCCCAGCTGCACCCGCCTCCTGACTATTCATGGAACAGACCAAGGTCGGGCCCACCCCAGGGCCTTTGCACTTGCCATTCCTCAGCCGAGAAGACTCTTCCCCGAGACAGACCTGCGTCCCTCACTCACTCTCCTCATTCGGGTCTCTGTTCAGATGTCACTACACAGAGAGGCTTTCCTGGTCTCCCCCAGTTCTGCATGAAGGACCACACTCCCAGCGTGCCCGGTGTACTAGCATGGCCTGTATTTCCTGTGCGCGGATGCTCTGACGTCTGAGACCTTGCTGCCCCGGAGGGACCGCCCCCCCAGGGCTGGCCGGTGCCTAGGGAGTAAGCAAGCCGCCTGGAGCACACCTTTCGTGGGGCAGCCAAGCTACCCAGCGCCCAGGCCCCGGCCACCTCCCTTATCGTGTTCTCGCACTCCGGGCCGCTGTCCTCCCGCTCTAATCACCCCAGGGCCGGACACCAGACACGCAGGGGCAGCCAGTCCCATGCCCAGAGCCCGCGGCAATTAGTCCAGCTAGCCGAGCCTCCGCCTGCTTGCCTGCCAGGTGCCTGCCTTCCCACAGAGACCACAGAAAGGCTCTTGCCCACGGCCATGGTCCCCCCCTCCTCACTGACCCCAGTGTCTCCCCGTGTGTCCCCTCCCATGGGCAGCATGCCGCCCTCCCCTCGGGAACTGTGGGGAACACGCTGTCTTTTCGATGGCAGTCATCTCCTGGTTTGCCAGCCTCACCAGCTCTGAATAAAATAAAGCCTGTATTTCAAAACGCCCAGCCCGCTTGCCCCGCTCCACCCTTCTCCACAACCCTTTTATCAGCCAACACATTACACTCTTATTTGCTCGTGGCTTTTCTGTCCGCGGTGGATGGGCAGCTCCACCAAGGCAAGGACCGTCACATCAGCACCCTAGCTCTGGCCAGCAAGATGTAAGCAAAGTCTGTAGGGGGCTTTGAGAGGGCTCCCCAAAAGGCAGGATAGGGCCCCTCTGCTCTCTCTGTTCCTGGAACCCAGATGTGAGTGCTGGGTCTGGTCTCCAAGAGCCCTCTTGGACCATTGGGTGACCACGGGGATAAAAGACAAGGGCTGAGGGTGGGAGAAGAGAAAGGTGGGAGCCTGCGCCCTTGAGGAAGGACACTTTAGAGTTGCCGCAGTCCTGGACTCCTTCCTCAGAATGGATGTTGGGGTTTTCATAGGCCCTAAGCAAATACCCTCCCTCCTCCTCTCTGGATGGAACCCTGCGTAGTGTTGAGATGGGAGCCTGAGAATGGAGCTAACACAGAGGAAACAGAACCAAGGAACACAGAGAGAAAAGCTGGGTTCTAATGACAACAATGAGCACCTAGATCCAGCAGTTCCTGAAGCCATCCCTTTTTCTGGACTTTTCATTCATGTAATCCAATAAATTCCCTTTTTACTTAAATCAGTAGGGGTTGAGTTTCTGTCATTTTTGCTAACTAATGCTTACCTGAGCCTGAATGAGAAGTCCAGGGAAGGTCCTGTGAAATTTAGCATCTAGCCTTTTGGCCTATGAAGACACCCTTAACCATAAGAATGTCCTAAAACTGGCCCTTAGCACTCTCTCCAACCAGGCACATTGGTCTTTAACAGAGTCAGTCTTCTCGTGAGTAGGGCAACTCAGAGTAGCAGAAAGTATTATAAGTCCCAGGACAAACAGAAGGAACTTTGGCTTTGAGGCCAGAGAATCTCAAGCTTGATTCTTGGACAAGCCATTGCCTTGCTGTGTGACCCTAGGCAAGTTACTGAACCTCTCTGAACTTCTGGAGCAATAGTATCCACCCTACTGGGATGACATGAGTTTTTTGTTTTGGTTTGGTTTTTTTGACATGAGATTTTTAAATGAAATAAAGTAGTATATAAAGCACCAAGAACAGACTCAGGTCTATAGTGAGTGCTCAATAGATAGTAGCTGTTGTTACTATTGTTAATAATTTCACAAGAACTCAACGGCAACAATTAAAAACGTCTGACCAATGAATAGCACTCACAATATAACGGGGGTATGCTTCAGCTTTATTTGTTATAACATTTCAGGGGACTTTCACACACTCCTCGTTTGCCTGCACGGCTGCTAATTAACAAGTGCATTTTCGCACTTCGTTACAACAGACTTGGCAGAATCACAATTCGGAGATCTTTTCATTAGCAGTTAGATAATGAATGTGGGGGAACCGCACTGCTGTACAAATACTCAGCATACAGATTGCACCCTGCCTTCCCCCAGGGTGGCAGCCAGAACCCCCGAGGCCAGGGCGTATGCCCTCCGCTGAGACCCCTTGACAGCAGACCACTGGCTTCCAGAGAGGAGGAGCCGTGCCTGCCTCCTGCTGCTTCCGCACCGAGCTGGGTGGCCTTGAGCTAGTTACTTAACTTCTCTGAGCAGAGTTTTTCTCATCTGGAAAATGGACTCAATGGCAGCACTTTCCTCCAAGGGCTGTGTGGGCTGGGGAGAGGAGTCAATGACATGATGCAGCAAAGTGCCCAGCAAAGACTATTCAGCAGTGTTTTGGTTTTTATTATCCTAAAGCCACGATGTGAGGTAGAACTATTGTGTTTGCGAAGAGCAGAAAACCCAACTCAAACTGGCTTATGGACAAAAAATATTATGGTGGGTGGTTGGAGAGAGGATATTTACACGTTTATACAACTGCAAAGTCCAAAGGCCGTGCCAGCTTCAGGTGCAGCTACCCTGTGTCATAAGGAGCCAGTTTCTCTCCGTCTCACACCCTCCCCCTGTTGGACAGGGGCTGGGTTGTGTTTGATACTGTTGTGTTCCCTGTGGCAACTCCTGGCAGCTCAAGACCCTCCCCTCATGGTGACAACATGGCTGCAGCAACCCAGCCTCTCATCTTCCCAAGTCCAACAGGAAAGAGCAAGGTGTCCTTGGGGTAGCTCCTCCCTGAGTCCTGAGCCTCACTCTGATTGGAGCCGCTTAGACCATCCCATCCCTGAGCCAATCAATCAGTGAGGCCATAAGGAGGCAATGATCTGATTGGCCGGGCCTGGGGATAATAGTCTGAAAGGGAGTGAGGGGTGAAAAGCAAACCAGAGAGCCAGCGGTGTCCTTCTAGCGCCCTCTACAGAGAAAGCTCAACACTGCACTCGCCGTAAAGGAAAGACGCTTCCGGGAACTCTGTCCATGATGGCAGAGCAGGTGCTGAGGGATGACTTGGGAGCCGAGGGTCAACACATTGCTGCCTGGTGCATACCCTCAGTCCCGGCACTGCATTGGCATCTGCTTGGCAGGAGCTGTGGTCAGAGGGAAAGTCACAGCTCCAGCTCGGAGCAGGGAGGGGACAGGTACCCCCAACCCCGTGAGAAGCCAGAGTCAGGGCACTCGAGTGACGCAACTCCTCATGGTCAACCTCTCTGGGCAGAGAATGGGCCTGGGAACAAACGGGGAACGCCCAGCTCTGTAGGTGCAGTCACTGTCTGTCCCTATTTTACGGAAGAGGCCCAGATAGGGTTAGAAACTCGCCAGTTCCACCGCGCTGAACCGCCCAGTGCTGGAGCCAACCTACTTGCGCAGCAGCAAGAGGGGACAGGGATGGAGGAGCCCCCTGCTCTCCAAAAAAGTATTCCTGGAAGCCCAAATGCCAATGTTGTCCCTTTTGGCAATTTCAACAAACCTGCCTCTACTTGCTCAGGAGAGGGAGAGAGAGAGAGGGGGGAGATTTTTTTTATTTCACTCTCCTTCCAGCTGGCCGCCCAGCAAGAGTTCTCATCTTCCCGGGAATATCTTTCATTTGCACGGTGACCCGGGCTGCTGTGAGGTGAAAAGTGAGCTAGATACGAGGCGGAGGGAAGAATTCGAAATGCAACCACACTGCACCCGAGCAGGAGGGGCCAAGCAGCGGAGAGGCAAACCAAATAACCAGCACCCGCCACGCGCTGTCTGCAAGAGGTGCGCACGGATTCGAAACCAAAACACACTCGCCACTGGTCTTCACTGCAAGCTCGGGCCGAGCAGGCCGGCGGGCGGGCGTGGCTGGTGTTTGCCTTAGGAGATGCAGACATGCTTTTCTGGGGGCCACAGCTTCTCCCTCCTAGCTATGGTCAGAAGCAGCTGGTTTTCGGTGAGCCTGAGGGCGATTTCAACCCTTGCTACTCTAAGCGTGGCCTGTGGACCAGCAGGGTGAGAGCCCAGGCGATCGGCGTGCACGGCGACATCCGAGAAGCTGCTCTGAGCCGGCGCTGGAGGGACCAGGCGCAGCTGGGCGCTTAGTTTCCCCGAGGGTAAGCAACCGTTCCGGTTTGCCAGGACCTTCCTGTTCAATGACACTTGCAGAGAGGCGCAGCCTGGACCGCCTACCTCCCAACTTGCTACTAAGTCAACAGCGAATCTTCTCAAGCCACTGAGGAGGTGCTCTCCGTTACACTGGCCACGTCCTGGCTACCAGGGAGCCCAGGGCCAAACTGGGTGCATCACACAGCACCGTCCGTTCAGGTGACTGCTCCTTCCCGATTCCAGCACCTAATTGACTACCTTATTGTTAGGAAAAGCACCGCTTTTCTTCCAGGGTCGGAGCAGGTTTCTGTTCCTTCTGTTGAGCCCCAGAGTGGCTCGAATGCAATTAGAGGCTGTGCTGTACGAAAAGGACGCCTCTTTAAAGGCAGAGTCACAGCCAGCAGCGTGAGGCGCTAACGCCGCCAGGGGAGGCAGGTGGGAACTGCCAAAGCAGCAAACTCGAATCCCTGTGTCCCCTTGCTCCCTGTGGGCTCTTACCTTGAGTGGCGGGCAGAGACCTGCCCGCCCCTTTCGAATATCGACTTCCCTCCTTCTTTCTCTCCCCACCTCCTCCAGATGATTCGTTGGCTTTGAGGAAAACGTGTCGGCTTGGCCACTTACAGGGTGTAGGACTTTGGCCAAGTTACTCAAGACCCCTGAGCCTTACTGTACTCATCCCGGATCCACCCTCAGCACCCAAAGTGCGGCCCCGGCACCGCCAGGAAGCTTGTAGAAACGCAGACTCCCAGGCCCCACGCTGACCTGCCGCACCAGAAGGGGCATTTTGGTAAGATCCTCAGGTGACCTGTGTACATGGCGAACTTTGAGACCCGCTACCTGAGCTCCATGGTGTGTCATCAGCATGAAACAGGTTCATACCTGTAGAGAGCCTAGAACAGAGCCTGGCACAAGGTCAGTCTCGACCCAAAAGGAAAGAGAGAGGCCCAAAGTCTGATTCCTCCCACTCCCAATGGCTTCTTTTTTCTAAGTCATGGTAAAATACACATAACGTAAAATTTACCATTGGTGACATTTCATACATTCGCTATGCTGTACGACCATCAGCACGACTACTTAGTCCCAGAACGTTTCCATCACCCCAAACAGAAACCCTGAACCCGTTAGCAGTCACCCTCCATTTCCCCCACCCCTCTGCCAGCCCCCTGGTCCCCAGCAACTACTAATCTGCTTTCTGTCTCTATGGATTTCCTGTTCTGGACATTACATGTGAGCACAACTACACGACATGTTGCCTTCTGCGTCTGGCTTCTCTCAACGGACACAATGTTTTCAAGGCTCGTCAGGTTGTAGCCGGTGTCTGTTCCTCTTTATGGCGGAGCAGTCCGTCGATAGACCACATTCTCTTTATCCGTTCATCAGCTGATGGACACTTGGCTTGCTTCCTCCTCGGGGCTGTCAGGAATAGGGCTGCAACTGCCAGGCTGCCTGGCCACTCACTTCTGAAGGAGGCCGTGCGGTCTGGCCTGGACTCCCGCTTTGCCTCTTCTCAGCTGAGCGGCCCCAGGGAAGTGGCTTGAACCTGAGAGCTTCTGCTTCCGCAGCATGGCAGGTTCATGGGGTGGATGAGTGGGTGAGTGGTGACAGGGGATGAGGCAGAGGCGTAAACTCTCCTCCCAGGTGCCTGCCACCCACTAGGGGACCGGGGCTTTCTTCCTCCCCCAGTCAAGAGGCCAGCACAACTCTTCCCAGAGTTGGAAAACTGGTAGCGTGGAGATGGCATCCAACCCATGGAAATGGTTGATTTGGACCACACATTGTGTTATGGGACACTAACATTTTAAAACCTGGAGCTTTTACATAAAAATCTAGATTTATGGCTTCTCTGCAGAATTTGAACCTCTGGCAGCCCCGGGCCTGTGTTCCTGCTGGCGCAGCTAACAGCCAACTCCTGTCGATGGGCGTGGGCCGTCCCTTGGCTCACTGTCCCCACCAGCCGCAGGCAGTCCCTGTCACCGCAGGCCCTCCAGCCAGAGCGTCTGCGGCAGCTGCTGTGAGCTGCAGGGCTGTGATCTTTCCTAGAGTAGAAAAGTACCCCTCTGTACTCATGATTCTTACCCAAAGTGAGAAAATGAAAGTCACTTCAAGAGAGCATGTGTTTCTTATGCCCCACACCTTTTTAACTCACTTGCATCCCCGGTGTGACATCTGGTTTGTATAGCAGTGGGAAGGAGGAAGAGGTTTGCATGCAAATAAGCCTTGGGGTCGCTTGGCCCCGTGACAGATGCTACATATGTGTTCATTCGCTTCCCTCCTTTGGAGTTCAGATGTACCCAGACATGTTAATGTTCCAGAAACTGACACTCATGGACTCCTGAGCCAGGCTCAGGGAGCGACTACTGGCTCAGTCTGAATTGCAATGTTCTCGATGGTTCCGGAGAGGTGGTGTCTGTTCCTTGTCCTTCACCTCCACCTGCTGGTCCTGTAAAAAATTACAACCTAGGTTTAGGCGGTTCTCACACGGGACATGGTGGCTCACCCCTGTAATCCCAGCACTTTGGGAGGTCAAGGCAGGAAGATCACTTGAGCCCAGATGTTTGAGACCAGCCTGAGCAACATAGCAAGACCCCATCTCTACAAAAAATTTAAAACTTAGCCGGGCGTGGTGGCACACTTCTGTAATCTCAGCTACTTGGGAGGCTGAGGCAGGAGGATCGCTTGATCCCAGGAGTTGGTGGTTGCTGTGCTCCTGCCACTGCACTCCAGCCTGGAAGAAGTTCTCCCCAAGGCTTCCCTTTATTCTGCACATTCTTTTTAACCCTTTCATATTAGCAGCAGGAAATCATTCGGGCCACCCTTAATAGCTATTCTGTGTCACATGCAGGCACTTGGTGGGATCTCTTCACAATAGTTTTAAGGGTCCAATCTCAAATCAGAAGTCAATCCCCAAAGTTGGGTCATATAAGCATGAGAAGAATACAATCTTTTTCCAGATCTTCACGTGCCTGGCTATTTCTCATTCTTCAGTCCTCAACTCAGGTATCACCTCTGTAGGTTTACCCCGGCCACCATTTTCAAGAAGTAACCAACCACCTGCCCACCCAATCCTGCCTTATCATGTCACCAGGGTTGGCTTGTTCACAGCTAAAATTATTTATTGTTTATGTATTTTCTACCTGTCATTACCTATCATCTCCAAAAAAAAAGTAAGCATCCTTCTATTTTAGTCTAATTTTATCCTCACTACCACTCTTTAGGACTAGTATTATTTTTACAAATACCCTCCCTTTTTAAATTTAAAGGCAATGTCTTCTCATCATAGAAAATTGAGAGCATACATGAAAACTATTTTTAAAGGAAAGTCAAAATAACTTGTAATCCCACCACCAAGAAATAATATTTATTGGTGGGGATGCTTTTTAAACTTATAAAGCACCACTCATAAAACAAGAACACAATTCAAACCTGTAGTGAAAGACCATTTTTCACCTATCGTATTGGCAGAGTTCAAAAAGCTTTATACTCCATTGTCACGAGGGAGTAGAGAAACAGGTCCTCTTGTGCACAATTGGCACAAATTCTTTGGGGAACAATTTGGCAAAACTGATTCAAATATAAAATGCATATGATCCTCACCCTAGTAATTCCACTTCAAGAAAGTTATCCCACAGAAACAAGTAGATATATAAACAAAAATGTTCCTTGCAGCAGTTGGTAGTAGAAAAAAACTGGAAACCAGTTGAGGGTCCTTATTTAGGGCACAGACTCCCAGAGCATGCATGGATAGAATTGTATTTCTGTATAGTAGTTCATCTCCCTTGCACTGCTATGTATTACACTTTATGGATTTAAAAACATTTTTCTGAGAAAAGGTCAATAGGTTTCACCAGATCACCAGAGGGAAACAATGGCACAAAAAAAGAGGAAGAACCCCTGCAGGAACAAGGACCGGTTACTTTGATCACGATCCAGTATATGGTGGAATATTAACTGAGCTATTAAAAAAAAGGGGGGGGCTGCTGTTCTGTGGCGACCGTATCTCGCTCTTACTCTGTAAACCTATATCTTGTTCTTGCTCTGTAAATCTATGTTGTCCTTCCTCAATAAACTTCATTTCACACTTGCCTTAAAAAAAAAAAAAGAATTAAGTTTATCTATATGCATTGATCTGGAACAATCCCAAAAGTACATTGTTAAGTGAAAAAAAGCAAAGCATGGAACCGTGTGTAGAGTAGGCTCACATTTGCATTTAGGAGAAGGATATTTTTACATCCCTGCCTGTGGGCGCACACGCCATCTCAGAAAGAACACGCGGGCAGCTGGTCACTGTGGCTGCTCTGAAGACAGGAGCTGGGGGTCTGAGAGTTAGGGTGGGAAGGATACTTACTTTTTACTTCCTATCTTTTTGTAATGTTTGGATTTTTTTTTTAAAACGTGCAAATATTTTTCCAAAAGTTCAACTTGGAAAGTTTAAATAAATCTGAAGCTTAGTCTTTGAAGCCACAAGATTGAGTAGGCTCTCATTACTTTTGTTGGAGAAAAGATAAACAAATAAATAAGTGATCATTAAAGTGACTATGTAATTACTTTAAAAAAAAAAAAAGTGATACTAGGTCAAGCTCAAAGTCCACCGTGCTCAGAATTCCTCCCAGGGCAGCACGGCTGTCCCAAGGTAGACCGAGCAGTCCTGGGTCTCCGCACTCTCCCGTGGCCACCGCACCCGTCATCTTCCCGTCATCCTGAACCTTAATGTTGCACTGGAGAATACCTAAATAGCTGGACTTCAAATAAGAATAAAATTGATCCTGTCTACTTTTTAAAAAAATATTTAACTGTGGTTTAAACAAAGACAACAAAATTTGCCATCTCAACCATTTCTAAGTGTGCAGTTCAGTAGTATTAATATCCTCACATTATCGTGCAACCAATCTCCAAAACTCTTTATCTTGCATAACTGAAATGCTGTATCCGTTAAACACTAACTGAGAGTTAGTGTTCCTCATTCCCTCAGACCCGGGCAACCACCATTCTACTTTTTGTCTCTGTGTATTTGACTACTCTAAGTGCCTCTCATATAGTGGAATCATACAGTGTTTGTCCTTCCATAACTGGCTTTTTTCACTTAGCATACCCTCCAGGTTTATCCATGTTGTAGCTTGTGTTAGAACTTCCTTCCTTTTAAGACTAATATTCCATTGCATGTATATTTCACATTTTGTTTATCCATTCATCTGTCAATGGACACTTGGGTTGTTTCCACCTTTTGGATACTTCTATGAATGTGGGCATGCAAATATCTCTTCAAGATCATGTTTCCAATTCTTTTGATAAGCACCCAGCAGTGGAATTGCTGGATCATAATAATGGTGATTCTGGTTGGGGAACTGCCATATTGTTTTCTGGAATGGCCGCACCATTTTACTTTCCGACCGATAATGCACAAGGGTTCCAGTTCTTGCACATCCTCACCAACACTTGTTATTTCCTGTTGTTCTGATAGTAGCTATCCTAATGGATATATAATCCTGTCTACTTTTGACAGATCAAGACATCCGAAATCTCAAAGGCTGGGGCAGCCAATAAAGCCGAATTTGGAGAAAGTGTCAATAATTCAGATTCCCCTCTCAGAAGAAGAAAATTAAATCCCTTGTGAGGATGATTAAAAAAATAATACCAAAGCTGGGAGAAAACTTGAGGCCTTCGGGTTCAAACCCTTCATTTTATTTATAGATGGGGAAACTGAGGCCAGAGAGGAGAGGTGTTTAGCTCCGAGCACAATTTGGGCTGGGGACAGAGTGACAGCTTTCATTGCATCTCACCACACCATGGCTCCAGCCCAAGATAAATCCGCCTCAATACTTGACAAGATGGTTGTTCTTTCTGCCCGGAGGCGGAGTGCCCATGTGACTAGGGACAGTATTTGCAGTTGTCAGGGCAGCAGCAATGGTGTGGCTGACTCCTTCAGGGCCGGGTGGAGCTTGATGGTAACCGGCAGGGTGGGGCTCTTGCTCACCCTGGTCCCTGGCTGGGACAACACTAGGGGAAAGAGTCTCTCCGCCTGAAACCTGGTGGTATAGTCAGATCCCTGAACGAGGATTTGTTCCTGATCCCACCTCCCCGCCATCTGTGCACTGCCGGGGAGAGCCCACCTCCCTCCCCAGACCTGATGGCCCTCTGCAGAGGGTGGTCAAAGACACCCTGGCCCCTCACCCCAAAACCCGGCCCTGCCTAGAAGCTCTGCATCTGACAGCAATTGCATACAACTAAATGTAGCAAAGGCTGGCTGCACACTCCTGGGACTCAAAAGCCCACTCTTTCTCAATCCTTGCAGAAACAGCAGAACCCACCCCTGATTCTAGAGCCTGGGTTTGACTCCCACCTCTAACACCTGCCATGGTGGGCACAGGCCACGCCCGGTAACCTCCGTCTCAGCTTCTTCTCCCGGAAACAGCGCTAACGATGGCACTCACCTCCTGAGCGTGCGTGAATTCAGTGACTTGACATTCATGAAGCTGTTAGAATCATGTCCGGCTCACAGAAAGATACTGTATAAAATGTTGCCATGGTTGCAGTGATTGCGATGTGTTTATCTTAATCTATGCTAGGAGAAATATTAAAGTACAGAAGATCTAAGATTTCGTAGGTATTGTTGCTAAAAAAAGAAGAAGACTAAAGTATGTTTTGACCCCAAAAAAAGTTAATTTAAGGAATGTGATACCTATAATAAATGTTAATGCACTGGTTCTGTGCCTATAAAAAAGTAATTAAGAATGTGAGATTTAAGTACGCGTTCAGGATGACGAACGTTTTAAAGCGACCTAGCGCCCCCTGCTGGCACCGCGCGGCGGCGGGCCTGCCCGCGAGCGGGGGAATCCGGCGCTTAGGCCGAGAGCTGTTCCCATGGCGACGCTCCACGCGGCCGGTCCTGAGAAACGCGGCCCGCAGTGTCCGCGGTCACCGGCGAGCCCACCCCCTCGTCGCCGCCGTTCAACAGTCAGTGAGGGCTCCCGGGTGAAAGGCGGCCGGGCTCAGCCAGCCCCCCAACCCCCACCACCACCCCCCTGCGCCCACTCCGGGGTCCCCCTGTTTTCCCAGCATGCACTGCCCGGGGCGGCCCGGACTGCTCCCGGGTGTCTGCAGGCTTGGGGAAGCGGCAGGGGCTCCGCCAGCGGTCGTGTCCTGCAGGCCTGCCAGCCAAGTCACGCCAGGGAAGGAAGGGTTCGCCGGTGGGGCCCGTGGTCGTCACCCAGCGTGTGGCTCAGTCCTGGGGACGCCCACAGGGCGCAGCCCAGGCTTCTCCCCGGCCTGCCGGCCCTGCGCCCTCTAACCCTGGCCCTGTCCTGCCGTCCCACCCCTGCGCCCTCTAACCCTGGCCCTGTCCTGCCATCCCCACCCCTGCGCCCTCTAACCCTGGCCCTGTCCTGCCGTCCCACCCCTGCGCCCTCTAACCCTGGCCCTGTCCTGCCGTCCCACCCCTGCCGCCCCAGCCACACCTTGCCTCAAACACACCAGCACTTTCCCACCTCAGAGCCCTGCCTGAGGGGACACCTGCCCCTCCCGGAACTAGGCCAGGTCTGCACCGGATGCCATCTGCCCCCCAGGGTCCCGATCCGGCCAGCACCCCAACTCTGGGTGCCGCCCCCCTGTGTTATCTCCTTCATGGCGTGCTCAACGCTGCGATCGTTGTCTCTCTTTGGCCAGCTGTGAGCTCCAGGGAAACGGGCGCTTGCCCATCTGGCCCACGCTACACCTCCAGCCCCTGCTCCGTGCTCCACAGGTATTTGTTGATGGAACAAACATTATCCTCACTTTGGGCACAAGGAAACTCAGGGAAGTGGAGTCAGAAGTGTCCCTGAAGGTCATGCCTTTGACCTATGCCCCAAGGCCCAGGTCCAGCATGGCTGCACCTGAGTTGAGTCAGGCATCTCCCAATGACGTCACTTTCCCCTTTTGCAGGGGGTCACCTCTAGTCCACAAATTCTTCCACATCACTGACTCTGGTGACATCACAAGGGGGAGATTTAGTCATTGGGCCAGCTCCATGGTGCAATCCCTCAGCCTGTGACTCATTCCCACTGACATTTGCAAAGAATGCGTAGACACAATATCAGTGGAACTTTTCACTCATAGGCAAGAGTAGCGGGTTACTCATTCCTTCAGCCACCAAGTGGCAACTGACTTTTTACTGCCTCGGAGAGCTGTAGACAAAGGGGGGGCCTATTCTACATGCGCTTATAGGCGTACCCGACAACTCAGACCCATCACACAGGCATTTTAGAAAGGGTCATCAACTATTCCAAACCCTTAGTCAGACATAAGACGGTTGCCAGAGTGACTTGATCAATCACTCCACAAATAAACAAGGAAAGCACACCACAGTATGTCAGATGGTGACAAAGCCGTGGAGAAAAACAAGGCAGAGAAGCCCAGGGGGAGGCGCAATGTTAAGTGGCATGTTTTAATTTTAAGTTATTTAAGTAATGAGGGAAGGCCTCCCTGAGAAAGTGACATTTGGGCAAAGCAGAGGCAGTCGCCTGTGCAAAGGCCCTGAGGACCAGGTCTGATGTACAGCGAGGTGAGTGGCGGGGCAGAGGGGCCGGAGAAGGGAAGAGGACGGATCAGAGTTATTCGGGCAATTTGGCTTTTGCTCTGAGTGCGATGGGAGCCAGGGGAGGGTTCTGAGCACAGGTGTGACAAGACACCTCTGAGCTGTTAACGCATTCCCTCTGGGAGCAGGAGACCAGGGAGGAGGTCATGGTGCATGGATCAGGGGGTGGTGAGAAGCAGATGGAGTCTGAGTGTATTTTGAGGGGAAAAACCCACAGGGTCTGATGACAGATGGAATGTAGGAAAAGGAAAAAGGGAGGGATCAAGAATAATTCTAAGTGGTGTGGCCTCAGCACCCAGAAGAATGGCGCTGCCACTATGGGAGCAGGGGACATCTGTAGGGACAAGCTTGGGAAGATGGAAAGATCAGTGTACCAAACAAAACTTCCTTGGATTCCTAAAGATCAAGATGGTCCCAAAGTGTACATTCACAAAAACCCAAACATCAGTCAGGCACCAGGGGAAACTGCTCAAAGTCAAGCAATCTGCAAGCAGCAGAGGAAAATATTAAATGAGTTTGCCAGGATAAGACGGGAGATAAAAACGAGCTGCAGCAAAAGGATGAGCCCTGAGGACAAACGCATTGTTCAAGGAAGGTGGTGCCAGGAGCCCTCCCTCCCCACACAGAATCCGGGACCCAGGAGCAAAACCTCCTTGATTAACCAGCCCCCACTTCTGGCGGCTTTAAATCAAACCACAAAACCACAAAGGAGGCACCTCCTGATCTGCAGCCTCTGATGCATACCCAGCTCCTTTGGGAAGGATCCCAATAAACAAGGATGCGGGAACAAAAAGGGCAAAGTCCCTTAAGCAGCCCACAGTGGCTCAAAGCCTGACAGTCTTCTCTTGGCAGAAACTGTCCCAACAGCAGCTGCCTTGAACACACGTCTCTCACATTGCCCAACACTTGCGCCTCTAAGGTGGCTAACGGGCACGTTAACGCCTGAAGACACACGTTTTACATAGTTCCGATTAGCCCCTGCTCCTGGGGACAGCAAGCACAGTTTCTGGACAGTTTTAAAGAAAATAAGAGGGCCTGGTGCCAGGGCGAGTGAGAACTGCAGTCGCTGTCAACTGTCAGTCTTTCCGGACAGTCATGTGGAATGAATGTTGGCAGCAGATGTGGCCCTCGGGCCCAGTGACCCGGGGCAGAGCAGCCTGGAGGGAGGGGACCTGGGCATTTTGTAGGGGTCCCAGGGTGGGACTAACCGGGAGGCTTGTGGGTGCCATAAATCCCAGGGACAAAGATGGTCCTCCCAGCAGCGTGGGGATAAAAACTGCAGATAGGCAGAGTCCTCCTGGGGTCAGAGCTGCTGGAATTGGATATCCCGAAGTGGATATCTTTTGTTTGGGCCTGCCACGTATCTGCCTCCGCTTCTTCTGGACATAGAACCTGGATTTTACTTTGGAGAACTGTGTTAATTAATCATGTCTTTTTATTACGCATTTTAGTGCTTTGACACCCTGGGACTTTGCTGGTCCTGGAAGGACTGCCCTGCCCAGGGTTCCCTGGTTCCTAGACAGGTAAACAACCCAACCAGGGGCAAGCTCTTCAAATACTGACCAAGCAATCTAGAGCCCACACCCGAACCACCTCCTTCACCCACTGGGCTTTCACACTTCCGGCCACTATCCACCAACCTTCAGGCCACTATTACCCTGGGCCACCCAACAGCTAGGACAGCCCCTACACCCCAGAGTCCACTGAAACTATTCCAACTCATCAATCCTAGGCCTGCTTACCCCGCCTCGCCTGGTCCTTGCAGGAAGCATAACAAAGGCTCCTGCCCTATTTCCCCTCGCGCCCTCTGCCTCTTGCTAGACCCTGCTGCTGCCCGGTGTGGCCCCTCCATGGCGTGCCGTGCCCCCTCCTCTTGGGCTCTGTGCTTGTAACATACTCAGATCAGGTGTCTCCTGATCTGTTGGCACCCCGTCCTGAATAATAAAACCTACACTTTAAAACAAGAACCACCTTTTCCTCCCCCACTTGCAAGCCATGGGATTGGATGGGACTTATTTTGTCCACTCGCCCCAACCCCAGCCCAGTTCCAGGGGTGGGCATGTGACCCAGGCCTGGCCAATCAGAGCACCCCAACCCTGCTTGCCACACTTAACCGTCCAATGAGAGCTGGTCCTGAGACTGTAGTTAGAACCACTGGGGCCTCTCAGCTCTGCCTGCTCTCTGGGCCCGGTTCTCACACACAGGCTCTCCGCAGTGGGCAGCCCAACGACCTGGTTGACTGAGGTGCAGCCCGGGTCAGGTTGGTGGTGTCTCTCCTGCTGTGTCGTGCTGCGCAGGTGCAGGAGTAAACTGGAATGTTGGATTTCATGAGGTCTTGGCCCAGCCAGTCCGTAACACAGCAAACGGGGCAAGAGAACAGAGTGGGTGAGGACGGGATTAGGTTTAGGCTGTGATTAGGTTATAAGTGACCATCTTTTGGTCCCACTTGAGCTTCGCCTCAAGGAGGCAGAGTTTCCATAACAACGGTTGCTGCTTGTACTGGCTTCCAGTGGAGCCTGCAGGCTGGGAGTTTCAAGTGCATTCCAGAGGGCCTGGCTCTTGCCTCACCGGCTGTCCCAATTTTTATTACTATTTTTAAGGGGGTTGTTTTTAATGTCTTTGGGGACTGAAGGAAGCAATCTTCTGGAACTCACGTGGCTGTTTCATAGGCTCTTGAGGGCACCACCCTCCGTGTGTCTCCTGGATTTGCTGATTGCATGAGCTGTGACCACGACCGTAGACATGGTGACTTCACTCACTGATGCGTGGTAGATTTTACTAATAAACAACAGGGGAGAATCTCTGATTGCTGTCGGACCCAGAGCATCTACCCAAGGAGAAATGGCCAGATCTTGACAGCCTGGAGCAGGCCCTGGAGATGAAGCCAAGACGTAGAAAACCCATAACGCTGCAGAGAGCAAGCCCAGATGAAGAGGGCTAAGGGGACCGAGTGGTTCATATTGGAGAGGAGACTATCACAGTAGAATAATCACATTTATTATTTGGGTGACTTTCCAGGTGATAGTTTCTCCAGTGAGGACGCAGGACTTGCCTGTGTCCAAAGAGGATAGGCTTGACAACTTTATGCAATCTCAGCTCCAAAGATAGGTTCAGCAAAGATAGGTTCAGTAAAGATTAGACACGTTGAAGAGGAACCATAGACTGAGTCCAAGCCTGGTTCAGGAGTTGGTGTAATGGGTGAATGTTTCCATGGGAAGAAAGTCCAATTGCAGTTGGAAAGTTGGACGGGACTCATTTTATAATAACAGTGAATGCTAGTGGCAGACCCTGAATGCGTTGATTTCATGTATCTCACTATGAGACTTCACAAAGACAAAATCTAAAATATTATGGAAGGAGAATGGACGGCAGGGTCAGAAAGCAGAGGGAGCAGCCCTGCAGGACCAGCAGACAGTGCTTTGCCTCCCGTGTGGCAGAAAGGGACACAGACCAGGCTTGACACACCAGTTCCACCAGGGGCCAGCAAACTACAGCCCATGAGCCAAGTCCAGTCCTCAGCCACTTTTTGCATGACCCACAAACTAAGAATGGTTTTCATATTTTTAAATGGTTGAAAAAATTCCAAAGGAGACTATTTCATGTCATGTAAAAATTACACGGAGTTCAAATTCATTAATAAAGTTTTATTGGAACCCAACCACACACATTCATTTATGTATTGTTTATGGCTGTTTTCACGTAACAGCTGTGGAGTTGAATGGTTATGACAAAAACTGTACGCCCTCCAAGGCCTAAAGTATTTGCTGCCTGATACTTTACACAAAAAGCTTGCCAACCCCCTGAATTAAACCATTAAAACTCCAACTGAGCCTTCCCTAGGGGGAGACTAACAAAGAGAAATGCAAAATGAGTTCAGGGGTTCTTAACCTAGCTCCAGGGACTTCCCGAAGTGTCTATGGATAGGATTCAAGGGTGTCTATGAACTTGGGTCAGGAAGAAAAAATACGTCTTTATTTTCACTAACTTCTAACTTACACGTTGTATTTCGGTATCAGTGGATTAGCAGTCCCTATGACTTGGTCACCAACAGATATCAGATATTTTTATAATTCATCTCAAAATACTGTTTACACTCAAAGTTATGGTGGTCAACTTGCTATCTGATTGTGTTATTCAAGGCATGGATAACACAATAACACAAGGAGCACAAATATTACTATATCACAAATTTGTTTTTATAAGATGTTAATGATGTTTTGCCATCATTGGCTTTCTCTGTAAGCTTCTGTGTGGAAGCCAATTATTAATAGATATCCTGAGAAGGGGTTCATGGACCCCGCTAGACTGTCAAAGAGGCCGTGACCCAGAAAAATGTAAGAACTCCGCATAGCAGAGTGTAGACCACTCCTGCAGAAAAAAAGGAAGGCTGGAAGTCCCCATGTAAAAGGGACTGGCCGGGGGAGCCCCCGGAGAAGCGTGAGGCCTCACTGAACTTGGGAGGCAGAATCTCAGAAGCATCAGCAGTAACTTCGGTTCTGGAATCTGCAGCAGAAACAGAAGCTGCAGGAGGAAAAGGAAACGTCCCCAGCAGGCAGGCTCTGCAGGCCAGGAAATTCCCCAATGAGAGGCAGGAGGGACCCCTCACAGGACACGGGGCTCAATCAAAGGGAAACAGACATACAGAGGCTTGCACCAGCCTGGACTGCCTGGATTCCAATCCTGCCTCTACTGCTTTCTAGCTGTGTAGACTTGGACAAGTTGTTTGATTTCTGTATGCCTTGGTTCCCTTACCTAAAACAGAAATAATAATAGTATCTACATAACAAGTTCTCACAAAATCAAGTAAGTGGGTAAATACAAAGTCTTCAGCACACAATAAATTGAACTGGATCATTGTTTGCTATAAATTATTCTGAGTAGGAAGGAAAGGACCTTAAATAAGACCTTCACATTTTAAAGTTTATCAAGAAGATAGAAACATCTCAAATGCTACTCTTTGAGGAAGGAGACATACACATAAATGGGTTTTCACTTGAGATACAGTAAATGGCAAGTGTCAAAAGTAGCATTTTGTGGGAGATTTCTCCTAATTCAAGGATCAGGCATCATGACCACCACCCATTTTTAAAAATAAAGTTTTATTGGAACACAGCCATGCCCATTTGTCAGTATTGTCTACGGCTGTTTTCACACTACAACAGCTGAGTTGAGTTGCAATGGAGACCACATGGCTGGAAAAGTTGAAAGTGTTTATTTTCTGCCCTTTACAGCTGTAATCCACACACACACACACCCGGTCTGCTGACTGATCTGTGGCCTGTTAGGGACCAGGCTGCAGAGCTCCACTCTTCATGGAAAAATTGTCTTCCATGAAACTTAGGAAAGTGGGAGCACAGCAGAGAATGAGCAGCAGCAGGTGAGCCAGCAAAGCCTCATCTGTGTGTGTGGCCACGCCCCGTCGCTTGCATCACCACCTTAGCTCCGGTTCCACCCCCCCACCCCACCCCTGCCCCCTGTCTGTCTGGTCCCTGCTGCAGAAAAGGTTGGGGACTGCTGTTTTACAGAACAAGTTTTTTGCTGGCCCCGGTTCCAGCTGGATTTATGTTCACGGGTTGTGGATATGTGAATGCTCGACATACGTTGCTTTGCATCCTGGGGCAGCAGGTACCAATGTTATTTTCTGCTAGTGTTCTTTAGCGATAACATGGGCTCCCCCCCCCATTATACCCGGAAGTGAGTTGTGGGAGCATCATTGTGCTTGGGGGCACTGCTCAGGGCTCAGAAAAAGGCATGGGCTCAGTACCAGTGCTGCTGTTGCCTTCTTGCATTCTCTCTCGGCCAGCCCTTTGCGGAGGAGGGCCCCAGAGACTCATTCAACCTCTGAGATCCTAAAGGAACAACAGCATCTGTCCAAGGGAAACTGCCCAGGTTGCAGCTGCTGAAGGATCCCCTACTCTGGCATCATAATGAGATGCCACATGGCTGAGACTAAACACAATAGGAAATTAGGGGAAAAGAATTGGACTCTAATTGCTCTGGCCTTACAACTCATAAGGGCAAGGGGATTTGAGTTCAGCCTTTAATTCCTCTGGACTTCAATTGACTCATACTCTCAGTTATAAGGGATCTTTGGGCATTAATTTGTCCTGGGGAATACATTGAAGACTCTATATTCAAATTTGAATATACATACTGTTGGCTTTTATGATGGGAGCATATTTAATCTCATTACCAAACCTCTGATGGGCCACATCGGACAACAAAGCTGCACATAATTTGAGATGGGATAAGACGTAGGGAATTAAGAGGTACTGACTGAGTAGCCTTTATGTTGGGTTCATGAATGTGCTTTTCCCAGCCCACGACTGAGCCACCCGGTCCAGGAGGACCCACAGGGTAGCACTGGCTGCTGCTGGGGTTTGAGAAGGAAGGCAGGGCCAGGCCTGGCCGGGGAGCCCGCCACGCCCGCCCTCGTGGGGACAGCCCCGCTGGGTGTCCATAGGCTTAACAGTTACGCCTAAGGGCTCAAGAGAACCAAGAGGGGAGGGGAGAGTGTGGGAGGACGACACCTATACCCGCCCTTCCTGTTTCTCCGAAAAGGCACTTCCATTAAAACAGCGGCTGTAAACAATGGGCATACATGGTCACAAAGTGGCACAGTGGACATTGGAAACTAAGAAAGGAGAGGCTGAGATGGGGTGAGGGGTAAAAAGTTACCTGTCGGGCACAGTGTGCACTATTCTGGTGACGGATGCAAAGATCTGACTGCAGCATTAGCCAATTCACCCATGTAACAAAAAACACTTGAACCCCCTAAATCTATTGAAATAAAAAACGAAAGAAAATTGTTTTCCACCCAAACATGTCAAGTCACGCCTAAATCTTAACATGTTCCTGTCATTTCTTAAAAGATAATATTTCAGTCAGTACTTAAGGAAAACAACAACAGTGGTTCTCCATGTTGACAGCACATTGGGCTCACCTGGAATCGTGGGGTCACCAGGTTTAGCAAATACCAATCCAAGAAGCCCAGTTATATGTGCCTTTCAGAGAAACAACGCATAGATTTTTAATGTCCCATGCAATCCTTGGGACATACTTGTACTAAAAGTCTATGTTTGGGAGGGCCTGCAGGCCGGGCCGGTAAGTGCATAGGGAAGCAGGGCAGCATGTTGGCAAGACTGGCCACGGCTAAGCATAGTCCCCAAACAGCTTTCTTAGTTATAAAGGTGGGATTTTCTTCTTTCTCTACCTAACTCAAGCGTCTCTTTCTCCCTCGGTTTTGAACCTCGGTAAGGAGGAAAATGGTGTTAGAGTTGCACCCCCTCCCCTCCTCCTTGGCTGATTCACACACATGCTTCACGTCTCAGCTCAAAGGGCCTTTTCTCCAAGAAGCCTGCCCTGGACGTAGGAAGTCCCAGGGCTGTACGCTGTCATAAAACCCTCAGTGTTTTGTGGTTTTTTGTTTTGTTTTTTTTTCTGGCCTGTAAGAAAGCTGTCATGAACAAAAGCAGAGTTTCTCAACCTCGACACAACTGCCCAATTAGAAGGCTGGACGATTCTTTGTTGTAGGTCTGTCCTGTGCACTGTAGGATTTTGCAGCGTCCCTGGCCTCTGCCCAGGAGATACCAGCAGAGCCTCCCCTCCCCACTCCACGTAACATTGCCAAACACTCCACAGCTGTGTTCAGAGCTGGCTTCATGAGCATGCAACCTGTGCAGCGCTCCGTGCTGAGGGCCTTGCACTTGATTTCATGCTCTGCAATCCTTGTCATTATATATATATATATATATATATATATATATATATTTGGTGCAAATTTAATTTTATTAAAACTCACAGTGAACATTGTGGCATATCATTTCCCATTGTGTGACAATTTATTGGCTGGTAATGAAATTCTTCCTTATTTTTGAACAGGGGCCCTGCCAGTTATGTTGCCAGACCTGGTTGTTTAATGCTTCTCTGCTGCAAAACCCGGGGGGGGGGGGGTGCTGGGGGAGCAAAGGGCACATCTGCCTTTTTCTCTGCTGCATCCCTGGTGCTGGCAAAGGGAAGGTGCTCAAAAGAGCCCTTGAAGGCAAGGAGTGACAGGGAGGCTCCATCCAGGCCCTGCGGCTACCCGGGCTGAGGAACAGAAGGGAAGAATAACCTCTGGCCACCGTGTGAGCTGCTCTATTCAGCAGCTAAGCCAGCCTTCCCGAGGCTGCAGGAACATTCTTCCGAACCCCTCATGCGTGTCGAGTGGCAAGTGTGCCCTGTGTGGTCTGTGGTCCCTCACGCGGCTCTCCATATGCCACGCCAGCTGGGCTGGGCAGTGACCCCCAGACGTAAGAAGAGCAGGTGGGTGAGAGGCTGCGCGCTGAACGTCTGGGCTCTGCTGGCTCGTTGGAGGCAGGCCTTCACGGTGCATTAATCCCTGTTGAGCTGGTCCTCCCGTCTGCGCATCCGTCTACCTGGCTGCCATTCTCAAAGCCTAGACGAGCTGAGGTCAGCTAGGTGAGTATCTCTAGCACCAGAAAAAGGCCATTTTTAGTAAATCCATTTAAAGCGGGAACCCAGGTTTCAAAGCAAACAGTGAAGGGGAAAACTATTTGATTGGGGCTTCATCTTGAAAAACGAAAGTAAAATTTATAAGAACAAGCTTATTTCTGTCCATAGTGGCTTTCTCCTAGGTGTTCATGGCTTGTAGCACCTTTGGGGGAGAGGGGTGGGGGTGGGAAGTAGCATGAGGATGGCTCCTGGTTCCCCTAACATCCTATTTCTTGGTCTGGGAGGGAGTTGGTGACAAGAGTGTCCCGTTTGTGACAATTCATCAGGTGGTACACATAGGATTTGTGTACTTTTCTGTATATAATTCTTCAATTAAAGATTTTTTGTAATGGTCCCAAATTTTAGGAACCACTAATTGCTCCCTTCGTACGTACTACCCAGCAGGCCTGAGTGTAACTTTGGGCTTAAGTGCATAGAGTTGCTGTCCCCTGTCTGTAGGAATAGAAGGCAAATACTTCTTGGGTTGGCTGGTTTGTCCCTGATGAGAAGGTTTCTCATGGCACCAGGAAGGTTTCATGATGCTCTGGAAAGAGCAGACGCCCATGGCTTGGTTGGTGCTTCTCACATTGTGTGGCTTGGGGTTTTATGGATGATATAAAAGAATTAAGTGTACTGAAGGGGGAAAGTATGTTTCTCACTTGCTCACCTCCGTCCTCCTCACAGAGCCCTCATTAGTGTCCACATCCCTCCCTGTAAGCAACACAAACATCCGTCCAGTTGCTCAATGCAAATGCTGTGTCATCCCTGAAGCTTCCCTCTCCCATCTCCAAGACACGCCTCCCATCCCTTCCCTTCTCTCCTCTCCCCCACCCGCCCTAGCGCTAGTGTGGTCGCCACCGAGGGACAGCCCCCAAAGATGTCAAGTCCGAATCCTTGGAGCCTGTGACTATGTCGCTTTACACGGTAAAGGAGACTTTGTGAGCGTGACTAAGTTAAGAATCTTGGGCGGGGAGGTGGTATCTTGGATTATCCAGGTGGGCCCAATGTAATCACAGGGGGCCTTAGAAGGGGGAGACAGGAGGGTCAGAGTCAGAGTTTGAGAGGGGAGATTGGCATGAGGGCGTCACAAGGGAGTTAGGAGTTGAAATTGCTGCACGGCTGGCTTTGGTGATGGAGGAAGGGGACCACGAGCCAAGGAATGCAGGTAGCATCTAGGAGCTGGAAAAAGCAAGGAATAAATTCTGCCCTGGAACCTTCACAAGGAACGCAGCTGGCTGACACCTTGATTTTAGGACTTGTGACTTCCAGAACTGCAAGATACAAAAGCTGTGTTGTTTTACGCCACTAAGTTCATGGTAACTTGTTGTAGCAGCAATAGGAAACCTATATACCTAGTTGGCATCACCTCTCACCTGTGTACCTACAATAGCCTAACGGGTCCCCCGCTTTCATTCTTGTATCATAGTATCCCTTTTTCACAAAGCAGCCAGAGGAATCTTTGAAATATGTAAACAGGTCACAGCATCCTCCTTCTTAAAACCCTGCCATAGTTTTCCATTATCCTTAGAATAAAATCCAGACTCCTCGCCATGGCCCAGGATGCTTTGCATGGCCTGGCCCAGCTTTCCCAGGTTCCTCTGTGTCTTCCAACTCAGGATGCTCTTTCCAGCCTCAGGGCCTTTGCACTTGCTGTTCCTACTGCCTGGAATGCACTTGTCTCATGGCTGCTGTGATCCCTTTCAGGCTTCTCAGCTTACACGGCCCCTTCTCAGACGTCTTGTCTGGCTACCACCACCC